CCCCCCCAGGTTCCGGATGAAGTGTCACCTCTGTGTCAACTACATCGAGCTGCAGACGGACCCCGGGAATTGTGACTACGTCATCGTCAGCGGGGCCCGGCGCAAGGAGGAGCGCTGGGAGCCGGGGGACAGCGGCCAGGTCCTGCCTGATGGTGAGTCCCAGTCAGTCCCAGTGCTCCCAGTCAGTGCCAGGGACCCCAGCCAGGCCATTCCAGTGGCTCCCAGCACAGGGACACAGGGACACAGGGACAGGGACACAGGGACAGCGGCCAGGTGCTGCCTGATGGTGAGTGTGGGGTGGCCTGGGGGGGACAGTGACCCCAGTGACCCCAGTGAGTGCCAGTGACCCCAGTGAGTGACAGTGACCCCAGTCAGACCATTCCAGTGGCTCCCAGCATAGGGACACAGGGACACAGGGACACAGGGACAGCGGCCAGGTCCTGCCTGATGGTGAGTCCCAGTCCATCCCAGTGTCCCCAGTCAGTGCCAGTGACCCCAGCCAGGCCATTCCAGTGCCTCCCAGCACAGGGACACAGGGACACAGGGACACAGGGACAGGGACACAGGGATGTCACCCAGGTCCTGCCCGATGGTGAGTGCGGGGTGGCCTGGGGGGGACAGATGGTCCCAGTGACCCCAGTGAGTGCCAGGGACCCCAGCCAGGCCATTCCAGTGGCTCCCAGTGCCCACAGAGACACAGGGACACAGGGACAGTGACACAGGGACACAGGGACAGGGACACAGGGACAGCGGCCAGGTCCTGCCCGACGGTGAGTGCGGGGTGGCCTGGGGGGGACAGATGGTCCCAGTGAATCCCAGTGACCCCAGTCAGTCCCAGTGAGCCCAGTCAAACCATTCCAGTGGCTCCCAGTGCCCACAGGGACCCGGTCCTGACACAGGGACACAGGGACAGGGACATAGGGACAGGGACAGCGGCCAGGTCCTGCCCGACAGTGAGTCCCAGTCAGTCCCAGTAACGGTCCCAGTCAGTCCCAGTAACGGTCCCAGTCAGTCCCAGTAACCCCAGTCAGTCCCAGTGCTCCCAGTCAGTCCCAGTAACGGTCCCAGTCAGTCCCAGTGCTCCCAGTCAGTCCCAGTAACGGTTCCAGCCAGTCCCAGTAACAGTCCCAGTGCCCCCAGTCAGTCCCAGTAACGGTCCCAGTCAGTCCCAGTGCCCCCAGTCAGTCCCAGTCAGTCCCAGTAACAGTTCCAGTGCCCCCAGTCAGTCCCAGTACCCCCAGTCAGTCCCAGTACCCCCAGTCAGCCCCAGTAACGGTTCCAGTCAGTCCCAGTGCCCCCAGTCAGTCCCAGTAACGGTCCCAGTCAGTCCCAGTAACGGTCCCAGCCAGTCCCAGTAACAGTTCCAGTGCTCCCAGTCAGTCCCAGTCAGTCCCAGTACCCCCAGTCAGCCCCAGTTCCGTGTCCCAGTCAGTCCCAGTGCTCCCAGTCAGTCCCAGTACCGTGTCCCAGTCAGTCCCAGTGCTCCCAGTCAGTCCCAGT